AAAAAAAAAAAAAAAAAAAAAAAAAAAAAAAAAAAAAAAATCCTCATGTCTTCTCTCTCTGTCTCAATTCTTCCCTTCTTGTTCTTCCTCTTCTCCAATTTTGCCATCACTCAATCTTCCATTTCCAACACATCCTCCCTCATCTACAACACTTGCAAGACCAGCTCCGATCAAGACCCCAACATCTCCTTCAATTTCTGCCTAACATCTCTCCAACACGGGGCGGAGCATGGCCGCGGCGCCCTCGATCTCCGCCGCCTCGGCCTCATCTCCCTTCGCTTGGTTCGCCGTAACGTGAGCAGCACACGCCACTATATCAAGAAGTTGCGAAGAAATAAGCACCTCAACACGTTGGTTAAGTCCTGTTTAACTGATTGTTTGGAGCTTTATTCTGATGCCATCCCAACACTTAAGGATGCTCGAAGGGATTATAAGGGTAGACGTTACTTCGAGACGAACTTGAAGATCAGCTCGGTTATGGATGATTGTTCGACTTGTGAAGACGGATTCGAGGAAGAAGGTGTGATTTCACCGTTGACTAATAGGAGTTATAATGCTTTTGAATTATCAGCTATTGCACTCTCCATTATTAATATGCTTTCTTGAGGAAAATTGTAATAGAGGAAAAATGATTGGAATTTTTATTCAATAATGTAATAAAGTGGAGTAATTTTATATTGTAAGTGTGAGAGATTGTGACTTAATTTTTAATTAAATTAATTCAAGCCCGTTACGTATCGCCGTTACCCTTTTGGTTTTAGGGCAAGGTTTCCACGCCCTTATAATGAACGTTTCGTTCTCCTCTCCAACTGATGTGAGATCTCATAATTCACTCCCTTGGAGGCCAGCGTCTTTTTGGCACACTGCTCGGTGTCTAACTCTGATACCATTTTTAACAACTCAAACCCACTTAAGATCTCATAATTCACTCTCTTGGAGGCCAACGTTCTGTTGGCACACCGCTCGATGTCTGACTCTGATACCATTTGTAATAACTCAAACCCACTTGAGATCTCATAATTCACTCTCTTGGAGGCCAGCGTCCTATTGGCACACTACTCGGTGTCTGACTCTAATACCATTTGTAACAATTCAAACCCACTGTTACTAAATATTGTTCACTTTAATCCGTAGTGTCATCAGCTTCACGGTTATACTTTAATTTATTTTAATTAACTTCAAAAGTTAAATGTATATTTTTAATTAGAATATTCTTTTAACACATCATTTCCAACTAGGCTTCATTTCTTTATATGAAATGAATTACTAAATATATTGGTACAAATTACGAATTACAAATTTCCCTTCATTTAAAACACGTTTCTTTTTCGCTAAGTTTCTTTTTTGAGGTCATTTTCGACTTTTTAGTGGTTAAAGATAATAACAATAAATAAATAAAAATTAAGGTTCGATTTTATAATTTTTTTTATTTTTTATTTTGAAAATTGCGATGGTTTCTTTTAATTATTCTTTACAATAAATTTCATTTTTCTTAAAAAAAAATATTTAATTTTATTTTTTGAACCACGATTCAAACTTTCTTACCTAATGTTGATAATATTATATCTTAATCAGTTGAACTATGCTCAAGTTGGTCCAATAAGAGTCAAATGAGACTAAATTATTGCAAAAGTCGAATTAATTAAGATTGTCTACGGTTGGATCGACATATTTATTAAAAACATGATGGCAAAGTTGTTGGTAAACCAAATTAAGAATAATTAAGCGTACGATGGATGATAATTGAAAATTAATCCAAAAATACTTAAATGTGTGTTATTTATTTATTTATTTATTTATTTTTTATCATTGTCGGTAGCATGAATTTTATGTTACATAAAATTCTCCAAATTCTTGTCTCTCCAAGAAGAGATGATTGTGATATGTCTTTGTTTTGTACATTAAAGTCAGGCTGCCCCAAACTTCTTTATCTCTCTTTCTCACTCATAAACTTAAGAAATTGACTCCTAAACTACCAAAACCCGTGGATGCAATTTCTCCGGGTTTAAAATCGTTCGTCATAGATTCAAACTTCTGAACTCTTTATTTGTACGTGTTATTAAATTCTCGTCTTGATGTTTGGGTGTGTGTTCTTTTTTCTGTCAATTTAGTCGCTTGTGTTTCAATGATTTTTAATTTAATCTATCAATCGTGGTAAACGTTAAAACTCGTTGTTGGTAAAGTTACGTTGCGTAATATGAATTGACATAAATTCATAAGAAGAAAAATGGGTCATGATCGAGAGGAGATGTAACAGCTCAAAATCATTGCTAACCGATATTGTCATCTTTGGGCTTTCCCTCAAAGTTTTTAAAACGCGTTTGGTAGGGAGAGACTTTCATACTTTTATAAAGAATACTTCGTTTCCCTCTCTAATCGATATAGATTTCACAATTCACTCCTTCGGAGCCTGGCATCCTCGCTGATAGTCCGTTCCCCTCTGTAACTGATGTGAGATCTCAGGCTACTCAAGATAATTTGGTAGGATTTAGTGAAAAATCAAATTGAATTAAATTAGGTAGAAAAAAATATAAAAATCTAAAGAAATTAATTTTTTTTTTTTTTTGTCGGATTTGTGGAAAAAAAGTCGTTAATCGGATGAAAAACGAATGCAAAAACAAAGAATACTGCTCGAAGGCGGGATCTAGAATGGCACGTGGCAGCCAAGCAAAAATCAGAGAAAAATTCAGTAAAGCGCGTTCGCAAGGGATCGAACACGTGCTTAAAGAATAGTGATCACCAACCAATGTGCGACACGTCACGCCAAGAAAGTTCGTGAGAATCTACATCTATTGGAGCTTGAAAGCCAGTTGCATAGCATCTTCAATGCGCGTGTAGGCACGCGTGGGTCCGCCGGTGGGTGACCCTCCATGCGTGTGTGACGCATGCGGGTTAGTATTTTCACCCGTTGTTCAAATAATATTTGTAGAGATCGTTAAGAAGATTTAATGTTTGTTGTTGTGACTTATAAATGTTTGATATTTTGAACTTTATATAATTCATGTACAGTGAATAAGTCGTATTTTTTAAATATTTAAAAAAATACTCCGACAAACTAACTTAACCCAACTAAAAAAATAAAGGGTTGAGTAGTAAACTTTATTCGGATTGTTCGGGTCACTCACCCAACCAATCTAAACTTTCAGACGGTCTCTAAATCTTTTAATGCTATGTTTGAAATGTGGTATTAATGTTCTGTCCATATACTACAGTAAAAGTATTTTTTAACTCAAGCTCACTACTTTTAAAACGTGTCTACTAAGACATGTTTCGTTCTCCTCTCCAACCGATGTATGATCTCACATAATCTGACAACCTAACATAGCTGATAAACATCGATGGTTCGATCTTCATCGTTATCAAATCGAGAAGATTTCACTTTACCCTTAATCAAAGTAGATTGAAGTTGTTTGAAGAAAAAGCATAGCAACAAATTCTTCCACCCACCAAAACCATATAGTTTTCAATTCAAAACATTATAAATCAATCCCAAAGTGATCAAAACAAATCAATCATATTTATAAGATCATGATCATGAACCCCAAATCCTCATCATTTCCATTCATGATCATCATCTCCATGATCATCCTCAACATCTCTACCACCATTGTTGTTGCCAATTTCGTCGAAAAAACTTGCAAGAAATGCGAAAAGAACAACCCAAACGTCGACTACGAGTTCTGCGTTTCATCCTTCCGTTCCCACCCGGGTAGCGACTCGGCCGACCTTCGCAAACTCGGAGCCATCTCGTTACATTTGATTGGAAAGAACGTGAGCAACTCGGTCGAGTACGTGGAAGATCTATTGCATAAAAAGGAAGTAGATCCATACAAAAGGGCTAGGTTAAATGATTGCTTGGAGGTGTATTGTGAGGCAGTTGTTAGTGTAGAAGAAGGGAAGAAGGCATACAAGGAAGGGAGGTATGATGATGTTAATATCAAAGTGAGCTCAGTGATGGATGCTGGTAGGGTTTGTGAAGATGGGTTTAGGGAAAAAGAAGGCCTCTCATCGCCATTGACGAGGTGGAATAATGATACCTTTAACTTGACTGCCATAGCTCTTTCAATTATCAATATGCTTTCTTAACATTTAGTTCATGAATATGTTCGTGTTTATTTGATTCTTCGACTTTAAAAAATGTTTAATAGCTCCGTGGACTCTTAGATTTTTTAATTTTAGAAATGTGAGATCTTACCTCGACTAGAGAGAATGACGAAACATCTTCCTAGTTAACATGTTTTAAAATTGTGAGACTGATGGTAATATGTACGGGTCAAAAGAGACAATATTTGTTAGTGATGAGCTTGGAATGTTAGAAATGGTTTGAGAGTCAGGGCGGTGTGCCAGCAATGGCACTGGACCCCAAGAGGGGTGGAATGTGAGATCTAATATCGATTGGAGAGGGGAACGAAGGAGAGTGTGCCGGCGAGGACGTTAGGCCCCAAGAGGGATGGACGGTGAGATTCAATATTGATTGAAGAGAGGAACGAAACATTTCTTATAAAGACGTGGAAATCTCTCCCTAACTTGCGTATTTTAAAACTGTGAGGCTAACGGCTATACGCAGCGAGCTGAGTTGTTACAAAAAAAAAAAAAAAAAAAAAAAAAA